CNGCTTGCACTGCAATCGAGTAGAGAGTACGAAATAACCTAATGCAGTCATCGCCAACAGAAAATGTAAGCCTCCAGCCTCACGCCGACCGCCTTCTACCTACCACTCATATTTCCTACCTCGTTAACAGGTCTCCACCGCATTGCCTCTAGTTCGGCTCGTCCCTCAGGTAACTGTGCTCGCCGCTACTTTGCCATTCCCATTCGCCTCCACCCCGCCACTGCTTCTTCACAGAAGCGGCGTTCTCCTTCGCCGCTGTTACGCCTCCTCTATGTGACTCCTCCTCATTCGACGGGTCCTCTGCCTACCCGGTGCGCGCCCCCATCTCCCTGCGCACCGCTTCCCCCGGCCCTCTCTTACAGTTGCCTACCTGACCGCAGGACCAACACCTTGCCTCTGTCCGGTGCCGGGTAGGCTTTCCTTGCCTCCCCCGGCCCTACCTGGGGCGCGTCTCCTTGGCTCGTCATCTTCCTTACTTCCGTCCTTTCCTGTCCCTCGGGGGCCCTACCCCCTCGCCCCCTCCGTGGGCCCGATCCCCACTCTGGACTTGTCTCAAGCTCCCGGCCTCTATGATGCTGCCCACCCGGTAGGCTTGCCCCCGCGCCTGGGTCCTGTCTCCTCTTCCCGTCACGCCTACCTCACCTATCTTCCTCTGCCATCCAGGCACTGCCGGAGCCTACTCTGCCCCAGATCTTGGCCGCGCGCGTCCGCCCCACTTCCGTACCCTCTGCTGTACTGGATCCACCTTCCAGCCGCCAGATCTATACCGTCGCCCTCGCGAAGGCCGCCACCGTCTGCGACCGACAGCTCGTTGGCTCGTGAAACCATTGCCCGTCAGGAGGCTGCCGGTCGGGACCTCTCTGCATGGCTGGCCTCCCTGCCCCATGGCTGTACCCTGCTGTCCTGCACTGACGACGACCTGCTCGTCTACTTGGAGGCCCACTGGCTTCCCAACCGTCGGGTAGACGATCCGAGTCCCAACACCGTCAACAATCATCTGGGTCTGCTCTCCGGACTGTTTAACCGCTTGGGCCGTGGCAGCACTTACGACCGTGGAACCGGCATCGGCAACCCCTGCTGCTCCAGCGCCTTGTCCTCCTACAAGACTGGCTATAGTCGCCTCGTCGCCGACCGTGGCTACGAGGAGCAAGCCGCCGTGCCCCTTAGCCCTCGCGATTTTACCACCCTCATGGATCACCTCTGGTCCGGATTCCAGGCTTCCACCACCTCCCTAGCCCCCCTGCTGTTGCTACGCGATATGTTGTGCTGCCAATTTATGTGGCACACCAGCTACCGCGGCCATGACACAGGCAAACTGCGGCTACGTGACTTCCGTGACCCGCGGGGTGGTGGTCCCTTCCGCGGCATGCCTAGACACGCAAGGAAACCTTTCCGTTTTTTTCGACGCCCGCAACCGTCGCCCCCAACTGCCTAATGCATCCAACCACCAACTGCAACAACTACCGCGCAACGGCCAACCGCTACGTCGGTTTTCAGTCCGGTCCTGACTTCCTGGAGGGCGGCCCCGTGGACTACTTCATCAACTACGTGGTGCGCTGGCAGGAGTCCATGTTTCAAAACATGAGGCTGGAGGTGAGAGGAGTGCTGCTTTTAGTGCGGGGAGGTTGGGGGGGGGGTAAAGTGGGGGGTAGGGGGCTAATCATACATCCCTCTCTCTCCATCCTTAGGGATCCTCTCTCTCCATCCTTTGGCATGCAGAGAGAGGGATGCGTGATTGGAATTCTAGCGATCCCCTCATCCACCACCTCTGCGACGAGGTGGGATGGAATGGGGCAAGGGCGCCGCCCTCTTGCACATGCCGTACGGTTTCCCCCGTCGCCCCGCCAGCCCGCCAGCCATACACAAGAGTACTCCTGGTCGCCGCTGTACTGTGCCTCTTACTGTGTACGACAGACCAAAAAGTACGACGCCGTGATGGAGGAGTACCGTCACAACCTGTATACTCTGCGGCGGCTGGTCCTTTGCGGGGGGGACATGCAGCGTGCCCAGATTGTGTATGTACTGATACAGGCGAGTCCGAAGGAAAGAAGGGGGGTTTGGGGTTACCGCATGCGTATGTGTACCTGTATGTGTGCCTGTATATATGTATTTTTAGCGGTTGGGTATATGACGTGTGTACGACGAGGAGGTGCAACGTGTGCACCTGTGTGGGTGGTGTTTCTCGAATCGCCTAGGGGTTGTTCGGGACTTGGCTGGCTTACACGCGTCACGAACAAATCTCTGTGTGTGTGTGTGTGTGTGTGTGTCGGCTATCGTAGATATAGCTCTCTTAGTGCTTCGTAATCCTATCCTTTCGGGCATTGCTGGCCGTACGGCATTACCCACCCTGGAGCTCCTCCGTCTACTTTTATAAAATAATAGCGCGTGTAGAATTATATTCCGTCCCTTTCGATTTTCCGTACTTCCGTACCGTTGCCTTCCCTTCGGCGGATGGTGTTATTGACGCCGTGTGGTAATGCCACTTTGCGTCGTATATTGTATTTGTCGTACGCAGCGTTATGTGGACGAGCTGGTTGGTCGGTATCTGGACCCGGGGCAGGCCCCTGCCAGGTGGCTGCGCGAGACTGTACGACTGGATGCCCTCCCGGGAGCACCCGAGCAGCGGCCGGGGCAGTCCCCCCTCTTGATCAGCCCCTTGCAGGTGCGTGTGTGTGTATGTATGTTGGGGGGTGGATGGGTGAGGTGGTATGTTGGGGGGTCGGAGGGTGCTCGGGAGAGGTGTGCTCGGGAAAGGTGTGCTCGGGAAAGGTGTAAAGATGAGCCACATCCCTTCATGTAAGAGTAAGAATGTGTATGTGCACGTATCACGGCATGCGGCACGTGTGACTATGGGTTGTTTCTCCTTAGCACTCTTGCCGTACACTCTGTCGTATTTGCATCTCTGTCGTATTCGTACAAGTGAACCCTTTGCCTCTTTTCCAGCCCGCCACTTACCTCGTCTCTCGCACGTATCTCGTCCCCCCCGGCTTTCTTCCACCCACCCAACCTATGCTCCCCTCCCTCCCCCCTCCCCCCGGCCAGGCCGTACTCCTGAGTCTCCGTACACTGGTCAACCCGCCGGGTCGTACCACCAAGGCCCTGGTGGATTTCACCCAGGTGACGGAGGCGGCGGCGGCCAACCCCACCGTACGGAAGATGCTCGAGCTGTTTGGAGTGGGAGCTGGGAACTCAGCGAACGGGGCCGGGGGCGGTGACGGAGGCGGCGCCGAGATGCCGTACCTGCCGGTTTATATGCAGGTAAGGAATGGGGGGAAGTGTTTGTCTGTCGCTTCGTCTGTTTATGGCGCCCTCCCTCCTTAAATGGAGTTCGCAGGGGTTTCGCAGGCTCCCGGCCTGTCCGTCGCCTCTCGACTGTTACATGTCGTGCATTGCCCCCTTGACCTGTCTTGCCTTGCCGGGGCCTTGGATGGTACGGTATGGTACGGCAATGGGGTGTAAGTTTCTTCTCCTTCCCCTTCTCCTTCCCCTCCATCAACTTGTACATTTTGAAGAGGTTTCAAGACCACAACGTTTTCCTCGTCATCGCAGCCAGACACACACATATACACATACATACGCAATGCAACCTGGCTCCGCAACCCCCACCCTTTCCGCCCCCGTTGGCACCCGCGAACAGCCGACTCTTGTATACGGCCTCTGGTTGCGACTGCTGTTAATCTTTAGGGTTACTACTGGTCGAGTTTCCATCTGTGCTATTGTTGCTGTTTGTTGTTGTTGTTGTTTGTTGGGGTGTTACACTGTTTGTTATCGTTGGGGCTGCAGTTGCCATTGTTGTTTTCCTTTTTGTTACCTTTCCGTCGAAATCCCGCCTTTCAGGTCCAGGAACTCGAGGTGCTGTCTCCGGAACAGGTATGTATGTATGTACGTTTGCATGTAAGTACGTATGTTTGTTTGTATATACGTATCTACGGTGAAGCGGGTTGAGAGGCAGTTGCGGGGCCGGGGAGTGGTGGGGGTGGGGCCGAGGTGTTTGCCGGCGGATGAGGTGGAGGGCGGAGAATCCATGACGGGCGCCCGAGGGGCAGATGGCTGACACTGCATCCCTGGAGCGATAGCAGATCATCAAAGGCGGGTCCCATTGGCAAATTGACAGTAACACGGAAGGCTGGTGGAGGCGAAGAGGACCATGCGACCCGTGGGTCACAAGTGGGGAAGATGGAGTTCATAAATACATTTTCCCATTCTGATGCCGTACTTGCACTGGTACGGTACCATCCCATCCTCGCTCACGCCACACTACATTTCCGTACATGCGCAGCTTCGGAACCTGGCCGAATACATCGTCGGTACGGGTTCCCTGGAATGGCACGTACCCGCCGCCCGGGAGATTCGCAACAACTTCAAACTGCAGCTGCAGCTCCGTACACACCGAAGGCTCTTCGGTTACGGCGCCGTACGAGCCGTACAGGGAAAGGAAGAGGAGGAGGAGCGGCTGCAGCTATCCGCCGTCGGAGGCCTTATGCAGCGGCCGCCGCTACAGGGACCATTTGCGGAGAAGGTGTGTATGTATGTATGTGTGTATGTGTATGTATGTGTGTATGTGTGTACGCATGTATGTGTGTATGTATGTGTGTATGTTACCTCGGCGCAAGAAGGTGTTGTCTCGTCTTTTTCGTCGCTATTGGGGAGAAGGGACCTCCTGTACTTGTTTCCGTCTTTTTCCTGCCTCGAAACGAGTTTCCGAACTACCAACTAGCCAACAATCAATAACCAATACCTAACCAACCAACGGTTTTAACCGACCCGTCAGGTGGCCGTCTTGCGCAACTACCTTGGTGAGGTGCTGATCGGCTGCTACGAGGCCCGCCGTCTGGCTGCCCGCCTCGCCTTCACCGCCAGTCCGTCATTGGGCTTCACCGACATAGATGCGGAGCAGCAGGTGGTGCAGTTGGGGTACATATGGTGAACATATCGCCGGCCGGAATGGCCGCAGGGTTGGCTAAAAGCCAAAAAATGTCTTTTCTGTACGGCTTGCTTCTTACTATACCCGTTGATTAATGATTGCGAAATAATTAGTTTCTAGAATGACTAAGTGCAGCGAAGTAAAAATAATATTGGGGAAATATTAGGCAAGTATTATGGCAAAAAAGCCCAAATAATTACTGGCAGGAGGTGTCGTTGGGACTCAGCTGGCGGTGTGGAAGGGGTGGAAGCACGGTATCCCTGACCTGACCTGATCTGTTCTGTTCTGGGCGGGTATAGTTCCCAGGGTTTTGGGTCTTCCCAGGGTTTTCTTTAGCACTGGGTTTTTCCCCTTGAAACCCCCGCGGCCTCCGAAACCCATTTCCCACTCGTCCCCCACGTGGCCCTCCGATGCAGGTGTGCGCCTTCGAGCAGCAGACCATGTTGTTGTGGATGGATGCGCTGTGGGGTTGCTTCCTGGAAGACACCACGCGGCTCAGGAACGCCGTCAACATCCGCTCCTCCAACGGGTCCAACCCCGCGGAGGAGTTCCGGATCGAGGCGAATGCGGCCTTCCTGGCGCTGCTGGACAACTACAGGTATAAAGACGTAGGAGGAGGAGAGAGTTTGGGGTTGGGGGGAGGGCTGCGTGATTTTTTTGGGTGATTGTGATTGCGGTTGCGATTTGTGTCTTTGTCTTGGGTTGGATCTTTGTCTTGGGGCGTGTGCGTTTGGGTTGGGGGAAGAGAAACTCTGCCTTCTGCCATTTCCGTTCCCGCATTCTATTTTTCCCTTTCCTTTTGGCTCCCTCCTCCTCCTCCTCCTCCTCCTCCTTGTTACACCGCAGCCCTTCCCACCTCTCCCCTGTTTCCGCTGACCCCCAGGGATGCGGTTCTGGACAAGCTGCTGGTCCCTGACTTCAGCATTTACGCGCCCTTGGATCTGGAGGCGGATGAGCTCGCGGATACGGATCTGGTCGGGCGAGGAGGATTCGTGACGTCAGCGCCGCCGCCGCCGCCGCCGCCGCCAACAACAACAACGCCAACGCAGGATGGGGATGGGAATGGAGAGGGGGAGGAGGAGGCAGGGTCGGCTGCCAGGGCGACAAGCATTTCATCGGCCACCACCGATGGCACCACCACTGCCGCAGGTGCCCACAACGCTGCAAGAGGCAGCAATGTGAATGGCAACGGCAGTAGCGGTAAAAACGGCGGGAATGGCAACAACGGCGTCGACTATCCTGGCAGCGATCTGGCGTCCTGGATGGCTTCTTCTTCGTCTTCTTCTTCTCCGTCTTCTTCTTCTTCGTCGTCAGATTTGGCATCGGCTGCCGTTGATGAAGAGGCCGAGGAGGGAAGAAACCCCAGTAGCAGTGCCGGCGGTGGCAGCAGTAGTGGGGTGGTTGTCGGATCGTCGTCGTCATCATTACCATCATTACCATCATCGTCGTCGTCGTCGTCGTCCTCCTCCTTCATGGCGGGATCCCGTTGATCTTGTTTTTGGAAAGTAGTACTTTTTAAAGGGGGAAGAAGTGTAGTTACTGGTTAATAGTTCACAAACGGAATACGCAGCGTTTGTTACGGACGCCGCCACGGGGCTGCCCTGGCTTAGCCTTAGGGTGCGTTTAGTGTAGTGTACCTGCAGTAAGTGCATATAACCTAGTGCTAAGTACGACAACGAAAAAGAATGGAAAAGGCGTTGAGTAAGTGCCGTACACGACGAAGCGGGGAGGAGGGATAAGCAGATCGGCATCGGTATGTGGAACAGGAACAAACTGTGGCAGTTGTTATTGTTAGTTCAGACGCCGTGCAAGGCAGATGCCCGTACTGTACGGCGCCCCGTACAAAAGCGCCGAAACACACAGACAGATAGACAGATAGATGGATGAGAGGAAAAGGGAAGCGCGCGAGGCTAAAGCTGAATGAGGTATGTAGGAAAATGTCTTGGCAAGCGACAGGAAGCTGGAGCTGAAAAAGAGCGATGTAAGATGAACGTGCGGCGGGTTGGGTTGGGTTGGGTTGGAGTGCTTTCAAAAGGGGGAAAGGAGAATGCCACTGCGGTGTACCTGGATAAATGGTGGTCGTGATGGTGGCTTTTGAGGTATGGGGACAGATACCGGGGGTTCGATGCCCCCGGGGACGCCTCCCAACAGTACGAGGAAAAAACAACACTACCTAGGATAGTTCGGTGCGGGAGAAAAATGCATTTTGCGGACTATGTGAATTGTTGGGTGTGTCCGGGCACCATAATATGGTGGCGTCACATGCTTGTGTGATGGCAGGAGAAAAGGAAAAAAATGCGAATGCAGGAGCCCGCCAAGCGCCGGGGCCCTGGAAAGACGGGTGAGAGGAGGGGACATTGAAGGGTCCGTTGGCATGGATGCGGAAGAGGGCGATGATGATGGCGCTGGTGCTGGTGCTCTGCGGAAGTAGTCGTGCGGGCGGTCCTGGAATACGGCCACGGACAGCTCCTCATCTCCGGGCTTGGGAGGCCCCGCACAGATACTCATACATACACGCGCGCGCACCCATACGCATACTCGCCGGCTCGCTTGCTGCATTACTTACACGACCCGTATTAGAGATGTTTCCTTCTGACAGGAAGGACGTCCTTTCATGACACCACTCGGTCTTAATAGGAATGGCGACGGACGTTGACGACTAACCGGGTTGCAGGTCGGCCTGCTTGCCTCCCAGCCCTCCTTGAGCATCGACTCTAGTCGCAACGAAGTAACTCAGCCAAAGTAGGGAGGTAGGGGATTACAGTAGTTTCCCTTTGCTATTGCTGACAGTACTGCTGCCGAGTGTAAATGGCGGTTGTACAGACTTTCATTGTGCAGAAGCTAAGTCGGGCCTGTATTTATGTCTGTCTATATGTATGTTTTAATGTGCGAGGTAGCATACATAACGGGAGTAAACTAGCCGGTGCAAGGTAAGGGGCCTTCGCGGCCGTCGGTGCTCGGTGCACTCTCTCCACACGCCGGCCTGCCGCTTCCCGTCCGAAGGGGACTAAGTTCACCAACACAGATGACCAACTCTAGCAGCACCAGCATCGGAACACCACCACATTAAAACTCCATCTCCACTCCGCAGCCTAGAGGCTGGCGGCGTACTTTGCGGCTTCCGCTTCACTGCCGTACAGTCACGGTACGTAGCCACCGTACAGCTACGAAGCAGAGAGGACGATAATGGCCCCCCGCGTACCCGCATCAATACAAACCTACCGTCCATAGCTCTGCCCCTCAGGCTTTTACAGACACCGCCGTACGTGCGCGGAACGTGTACCTGTTACGAGCAACGTGTGTACGGCTTTTTGATTGCGTGCCTAGTCAATAGACAGTTATGTACGATGAGCAGCACGACCGTCGTGTGCCGCATCTCACTAGCGGGCCACGTGATACCATCCTCCCTCGTACCGACACAGCGAGATAACGGGGTAAGCAAGAGACCGTGCATTCAACATCGAAACACTACATGATTGTGAATCATCATCATCATCATCATGAGCAGCAGCAGCAGCAGCGGAGTTGATAGCTGCCAGTCTTGTAGGAGGGTTCACAAGCCTCCAGCACCAACCCGCATGCACCTTTAAAAATTTATTTAGCGGAACCTCTGCACCGCATTGCATCGTTGATACGCGCCGAAATAACCAGCAGCGGCATTGGGATCAAAATTCTGAGTCGCATCCGACCAATTAAATGAGAATTAAATGGCCAGCAACTTCAGGCAATCAGGCTTTTAGCTTTCCTTGCCGTGCAGTATTACACTATTATATTATAAAAACCATTTGAAATTCCAAACATGACCTGTCAAATGCAGAAACCCAAGAATTACATACAAGGAACTAACCGCTAAGCCATTTATTCAACCTCTCATCTCCAACATCCAAGCTGACGGCCGCCCTAGCCCAAGTTCTCAGAAAGGCACCCACACCACACCAAAAGGAAGAGACCAGATCAGCGCCTAGGACCAGTAACGGCCCTTCCCCATGTCGAACACCACATGCATTCTTCCTCCAGCCATTTGTTGTTGTCACCAGTGGCCCCCTTTCCCGAGGCAGTTCCCTGCTCTCCCCTGCGAGAGGGGCACCCTAATCCGTTCACCCTATCCGACTTCAGAATGTATTCGTTAAGTTCAGCAACTCACCACCAGCATCCAACCAAATCTAACGGATCAACGGCGCCTCAACTTAGTTCCTGGTTAGCTCGCAAGTTGATTTTATCACGTCCTACACCGTCCACAAGATGGGGGGCCACCTCCCATTTCATCACCCCTCAAACACCCGAGGTGTCGGCAGACGGATTTGAACCCGGACACTCCGGGAGCAGAAATCAGGCCTTAACCTCTGCCAGCCACCTGCCTGCCTTTGGTATTAGGGGGACAACTCCGTGATCTAAGTGGCCAAACCATGACTTAAGCGCTGCCTCGACCTAGCAGTTATTTGTACGGCAGTGTCACGCGTCACGGCTACTGCCAATAATGCAGATATGCCTTTCTTGCGCAACGATTCAAGTGAATAAGTACTGTACCGTACTTTCAAGCTCCAAACTCTCACCTCCGGGTCTAGCATGCGTGCACACTTCCGAAACACGATTTTATACGTACGCCCATCTCCCCTAGCCGCGGATTACGTGCTGCGTATTCGCTGCCTCCAAAACCTGCCTTTCCCCCACCAGGAGCAACCCTAGGCGAGCACCATATACCTGGTGGATAAAGGAGGGGGATGTTGAGGGATGTGGGGAGAAGCCGCCGCAGCCGCCGCCACCGCGCCAATCCGCTCCATTGATGCAGCTGGCTGCCCACCAGCTGGCGGCCTACCTCGGCGGGGTGTCGATACTACCGCACTACAAAGGCACGGGCCCTTCGCCGCCATCCTCCTCCTCAGCAGCAGCAGTAGCACGAGTAACAGCAGCACCAGCAGTAACAGCAGCAGCAGTAAAAGCAGCAGTAAAAGCGGAAGTAGAGGCGGCAACAGGGTCCTTGATGCCGTTGTTGCCGTCGGCAGCACCGGAAGCATCGCTGGTTTTGTCATTGCTGCTGCCGCCGCCGCCGCTGGCGTAGCACTGCCGCCGGCGCTGCCGCCGGCGCCGCCAGAGCAGGGCCAAGATACCCGCCGCCGCTAGCGTCAGGGCAAAAGTGGCTCCGAACGCTGCAGCTGATATCGCAAAAATTGACATGCCGCCTGCTTTTGCTCCTGTCCTTGTTTTGGTTCCTGCATCTGTCCCGGGCGGCGGCATCGGCGGTGACAATGGCAGGTGCGGCGGTGGCGACGGCGGCGTGGCCGCTCCCTTGGGGGCCAGCATCCGCAGATTTGCAGTGAGGGTGACGTTGCGGCCCTCCAGGCCACACCACCAAAACCGATCAAAGGTGAGGCTGGTGACGGTGCCTTCCCTGAGTCCTGCCGATGCTGCAGGCAACAAATTTGCAACAGCTGCAGCTGACTCTGCAGCCAGACTGGAACCCCTGAGCATCCTGCTAAGCTGGTCTACCAGGCCAGGTGCGTTCGCCGCTACCTCCGTGGAGTTGGTGACCCAGATCCAGATGAACACGTCTAGCTCCGCTTGGGGAATCAGAATGCTGACAGTGTCCAGGAAGACATAGGGCAGACCCACGGGTCGGTCGCTGGCTACCAGGTTGCTGGTTGCGGCGCTGCCACTACCATTCCCTGCAGGAGGCGGAGCAGCAGCAGCAGCAGCTGCAGTGGCGGCGGGAGTCGCCGTCCTGGCGGCCGCGAGGGCACCAGGCCTGTCAAAGTCCAGGGCCCAAATGCATGACATGAAGCTGGCTATGGCGAAATCGAAGCCCTGAGCGATTGGGGGGTTCGCTGCTGGCTGGCCAGGCGGCGGACCAGTTCCGCCGCCCTCAGAACCCCCAACAGATTGCGCTTCTGCTGGCAAGAGAAGAGGCAACGCGGCGGCGGCGGCGGACGTCACAGGTGCGGGTGCGGGGGGGCCCGTTGGCTCTGATCCCGGCGGCTGCTGCGGCGGAGGCTGCAGTGATGGACGTGGCGGCGACCGTGGCGGCGCCACTGTGCACTCCGCCGCATTCCTCAACATCGTCAGCCCGATGAGTACCATGTGCCGTAAAGTTAGGGAGCCGGCTGCGCCCCGAAGGCACCACACCGCCGTGGCTGCTTGTAGATCCAGCACGCTCTCACCAAAGGGGTCTCCCATGAGGGCGATCGGCTGCAGAATGGTGACCACAGGTCTATCTGCTAACTGGACTAATCTGCCGACGGGGCGATTGAGGGTGTATGACATGGATGCGCTATGCGGGACGGCCTGCGGGTCGACAGAATTCAGTATGACCTCGTCCCACATAGCCGCAATACGAAGGGTCCAAGGCCGCTCTTGGGGCCCCTCCGGAACCAGCTGACACAGCACTCCCCGCAGGCAGGCAGGCGCGGCTACGGAGGCGGAGGCGGAGGCGGAGGCGGCAGATGCGGTGTCGCCGTTGGAGTCAGCTGCATACACTCGTACTTGCTCCAAAGTGAGGCCGTCACCGGCTGAGGTGACCCTGTCTGTCTCCAAGTACGGCACCTCACCCTCGATCTGCGAGCGGCACCGTGCCGTACACAACCACGATGGGCGATAACGGGGTGACGGTCGAAGGGCAGCGGGTGGTTTTGCGGGTCAAGTGGGTCAGGTGGATGGAGGAGGGCACTCAGGCACTCAGGTCAATACTTTGAAATTGGATCTGGATTTGGATTTGAGATTGAGGAACGGACCTCGTATACCGGAGTAATAAGGGAGCGCCGGTAGCGCGACAGTGCAGGAGAATCGAGGCGCCACGATCATGATCATTTGGCACATACATACATACATACATACATACATACATACATACATACATACATACATACATACATACATACATACATACATACATACATACATACATACATACATACATACATACATACATACATACATACATACATACATACATACATACATACACACATACATACATACATTACATACATACATGTATTGCTTCAGCCATATGACCGCACTAAACGAAGACAGGCATTAAACGACTTACCCAGCGAGCAGTCCCCGTGAGCAACGTCTGTGCCTTGATGCATAGGCACGGCGCAAGGCTAGGCGGCGGCGCGGCATCACCCACCATTTTCAATCTCACCAGGTCGGCCCAAAAGGCCGCCACTTCCTCCGTCGGCAGTCCCAACACGCTCACACGGCGAAGCAGAAGATACGGATCCCCACGACGGCCGTACAGACGCCGCCCGAAGGAGAAGGTCCACAGCCCCAGCCGCAATAGGCCCCAGGGGTACGTGCCGACCTGCCCGGTCTGCAGGTTCCGGAGCGTCAAGTTGTGCATCTGTATCGTTCCGGCACCGGTGATGGCGACAAGGCCTGCCGTACCGGCGAGATCGAGCACAGTGCCGCCACCAGGTGCTCCTGACAGGATGATGTTTGCGGTTTGGATGGTTAGTTGCTGGTTGGCAGTTGAGGTGTTGCCAGTGGTAGTTGATGCGAGCGTTATGTTCCGAGCGAGGAACAAAAAAGCGCTCTTACGGCTTAGCTCTGCGGCGGCCTGCTGTGCAAATCCCTCCAGGGTTCGCATTCCCTGGAGCACTTCGGCGCCCGTGGTGGCACGGAGAGCGGTGCACGGGTACATCAGAGGTTGCCCGCTGCATGTGAGCGTTACATTGGTGATGACGGCGGTGGGCGTGGAAAACTCATGGACGACGAGAGCTGAGGGTGTGATGGTGAAGTTCGGCGAGGGTGAGGCAGCGCAGGCAATGGCCTGATGCAGCGCCAGTGCGCTACAGGAGGGTGTGGTGATGAGCAGGTCGGACAGCAGCAAAGGCGGAGGTGACTGAGGATAAGGTGGAGATCGACCAGGGGACTGGGTATCATTGCTGCTTCCATCACCGCCACTACTGCCTCCGTTCACTGCAATTGATGAGGATGACACAGTTGCACTCAAGTTGAATGCAGACAGGGCAAGGAAGGAGGAGGCGGGCAGCGGATATGGTGAGGTGGGCAGGAGGGCGCCCGTGATGAGCAAGTTGCGGAGAGCCACTTGGCCATTGGGTGGCAGCTCGAAGATGTTGGATAACGAAGCCAGGTCCAGAACAGGTTCCAGGGCAGAATTTTGAGTTGTAATGTCACGGCCGTCAGAAGTCGAGTTCAACGCTTCATCGCTGCAGGTGATGACGTTTATGCTGGGTTCCGCAAAGTCGCGACACCTGCTTCCATGCAGGGTCACACGGCCTGGCCAGAGCACTCCATTCCCAGCTTGTAACGTTATGTTGGAGCGTATATTGCAAATAGAGTAGTCCTGGTAAGATTCGCAAACTGGAAGTTGAAGCAGAGATGCGGGGCTTATCGGACCAAGACGCAAGATTGGGGAACTGAAAATACCTGGCACACAGACTAGAATTAACACAATGTATAGATACAGAACTTGCGGCGCCGAGTTTAGGTACTCCTTCATCCGCAGGACAATGGCCCTACAAGTCGGTCATTATCCACAGTTGACGGACTTTGGCCTGTCCTTAAACATTTCTGGGCGCATGCTGTACGTATGTGCCGTGGAATTAAAAATATAGTATACGTTTTGCGTACGTTGAAATCGTACCTAACATCTCCTGACAGATAGACGTACAGACTGTGCACCTCTCACTGGGAAGGCATGTTCGTCTTCAGTAGATTTAAAAACAGCTGTAAGTCACAGCAAATCAGTCGGCTTCGCTGCTATTCGGTCACGGAAACAAAGCTAATGCCGATTTATGCCCGAATGAAACCAGCAATCTCGTGAAGTTAGGGATGCACCCTGATTGCATTTTTTTACTCGGAAACGGGTTACTCAGCGACAACATGAATGTCCAAACGCGGCGCGATGAGGGGTTCAGCCCAGGGGGAATCTCCCGTGGTTCACGGCAGAAACAAGATAGCTTACAAGGGGACTTGCAAGGTAGCACTTTTAGCCTTTTCCCCCCTTTTCACCTCGTTTGCTTGCCTCTCATATGTTCACAGGTATCTATCGTTAGGGTCAGCTCGGGTTGTACGCAGTTACGCAGGAAGGCCGTTATGAACTGCGCCGCGGTTTCTGAAAGCAAGGGCCTGCGGCAGTCCCGGCTTGCATATTCAGCTGAATGCATTGCTGGTTGGTGCTGAAAATGGCGACGATATGATTACATGAGGTTGTAACAGCTAGTTTCCCCTCATTTAAACGAAAGCGCGAAACGTTTGCGTTCAGTAATCCGTGCAGGATATCACTCGACATGACAACACGCGCGTCCCCGGCGACGCGTGACTGGCGTTGCAGCAGTGACGTTGTAGAAATATAAGCACAGGTGGACCACACCTATATGCTGTACATGTCAGCTGAGCCCCGCAAAGGTCCAAATGCCCGCGGTCTATGCCACGGCTCGGACAGCCCCAAACCTCCCGACGACGTCCCAGAGCCACCCCCTGGCCCCTCTACTTGTAAGGGGATGGCATGCGATCACGTCTGTGATCACCACATACAAGCTTCAAGTTCCACACCAGTGGGGGCCCCGTTTGTAAAAGCCGGGAGGGACATATACAAAGTCTCTCGGACAGGACAAGCGTAGCCACTAACGCCAGTACAGATCTGATGCCGTACATCGCTAGGGGTTCCCGGGCCCTGTAAGCCCCCATGTGACGGAATAATAAGCTACGATTGAGCTCGAAGGTTAGGAGGTAGACCAGCTGTATCTCAGTGCTCACAGCGCTGGCAGACATCGCCTACAGTAGCTAATATCCTCCCAGCCGCCATTAATTATCCCGGAAGGGAGGTCTTTAATTCCAAGATGTCGAGCTCTGTCACCTCAATTTGACACTGGGTAGCGACTGACATCCTGACTCGAGTTGACAGACGGACTGGACTGTGCACGTGGTCTCTCGGCCTTGAGTGTTCTAGGTTCTGAGGGTGGAGACGTGTGATCGATAATGTCCGGGAGGCAGGGAGTCAAGATGGAAGAAATGGAGGTTCTTAAAAGTACTTCATTGCTTCGGCGTAATAGCTGTATTAGCAGTCGGGACGCTGTGTGACAAGGAACATCCAACTTGTCCAAGCGCGACATGCAACCATGTCTCATTCCGTTTTAGAGGTCTGTAGGCGGGCTCATCCATAAGCATTGCCTTTTATTCTATTACGAAAGCTCTAAGAAACCCCATTCTTTGTTTTGGTTTCATACCACCTTGAGACCGTAGCCCTGACGTACTAACATACAATTAGCTTGCGGACATTGTTTAGGCGGTTGGTCATGTTTCGTGTTCACTGCATATAAATATTCCTTGCCGTGGGAGTTGCGACGTATATAAGGAGCTATCCCCTAATGTGTTCCCATTGTGCAGCAGCCAAATTAGGCACGACCACCGGGTAAAGAGCCCCTTTCAAGCCAACAATGCCTGGAGATGTTGCCAGGCCGTCACCCGCATCCCCAAATATGACATCCAGATTGCTCGCCGCTACATCCAGCAAAAGCAAGGATAGACCTTTTGTGGACGGGTACCTTAACCTACGTAAACCTAAGGGAGTTAGTTCTGACAAAGCGGTAGCAGTTGTTAAGAGTTTTATAATAAAGGCTCTAGGACTGGTCATCCCGGAACGTTGGATCTGGAGGCAAAGATACCTACAGGCGGATGCTGATGTCAGAGTTGGTCAGGTTGCTTCAGCGCAGGCTCCGGAAACGCTTCATCCCACTGGCGTCCACTCTGGGAACCTGGAGCCTTCATTCTATATGCGATTCACACTCATTTCATACCTTAATGAAGACCCTTCATACCTTCATGAAGGTACCCTTCATTCCACACCAAATCGAGGGCCATGATTCAATTTAGAATGAGGACCACTTCGTTACATAATGAAGGTAGCTCAGAATGAATGTCCCTTACGCTTTGAATACCCCTTCTGTCCAAAATGAAGGTGGTCTCCATAAAACGAGCCCATGTCCATCACGTGATATGAAGGCCCCTTTCAGTCCAAAAAGAAGCCGTCTCAATAAAATGAAACATATACATCACGTGATATGAAGGCCCCTTTCAGTCCAAAAAGAAGGCGTCTCCATAAAATGAAAGTTGTATATCACGTGATATGAAGGCCCCTTTCAGTCCAAAATTAAGCTTTTTCATAATGTCCATCGCGCCATATGGACACGCCTCCAATCCTATCTAGGAAGGCGTGTTCTTATCACATGATGAACAGTGTCTTAATACGGATTTGCTTATAAGCCAAGCCGTCTCAAGACCCTGTCCACCATGTGATACGAACGTGCCTTCAGCCCTAAGAAAAGGCACCTCCACAAAAGAAGACAATGCAGCTGTCCATCACATTGCATGTGCATCCACCCCAAAATAAACGTGCATCCATTACCACCGTCGTTTCTTGCCCCCCTTCCCCTTCGCCTTTGTTTCCATGATCCGCTTCAGTCAAGACGACATCAGGTCCAGAACGGCTGCGCTTTGAAGTGGCCTTTGCTGTCATCATGGCTGTTGCAATCTCCACCGCCCACATCTGTCGCCCACTGCTTCACCATGTCCAAGGTGGTTGACTGCAACAGCAGCGGGACATGTGTCAGTCAGTTAGTTATAGACATATAGGCTTAGTGGAGTAAAAATGGACAGGTTGCTATACTGAAGCACACAATTAACACGATGTCGCAAAACCATGCATTCTTGGTGAGCACCCAACCAGCCTATTTGTAACCCTGACATGAAACCAACACAAATTTTGACAGGAACTCACTTTCTGATTTGCTGCTAGGTGATCTGGTCCAGCGCTCGACATCCATTGGTCATGGGGTCCGGCTGCTGCTTGAAACAGCTTCAAGACACTGCTCTGCCTCCTCGACACTCAAGAGCTAAAATACACCTGCATTGAAAACAAATAGAGGGGCAAAGAACAATAAAACATTACGTTAGTTATCATGCAGCAGCATCGGACTGCAACCCTTGACGGCGGTAAATAGCTAGCATACATGTCAGAATAACAGATAGAAGCAGGTAACAAAGTTCTGTGATGACGAGTACAGAGTCATGATGTGGCCGCCGGCAATGTGGACCTGGTCAACACAGTCCCGTGACTCACCCAGCCCGAGCAGCTTGAAAATATTGGTCTGCTCCTGTGCCTCCCAGTCACATTGGAAGATTTCATTGTCACCATCGTCAGTAAGAGAGCCCAGCAGACTGGACCTAAGGGCGCCCTCACAGAGAAGAAGCCTCTTCTCAAACTTCAGCCTTGTGGCAAGCTCTTGTCCTCGCTCACTTAAATGAGGTCTAATGGCATAAACATCTGTAGTCAACGCTTTGTGTTGGCAGTGAGTCGCTGTTAGATGCTCAATGTCAAGCGCAGTAGTAATCGTTGTAAATCTGTACTTACAACAAAATGGAAGAACTATGGCATCTAAGATTAAGGAAGTGTATGCAGGATTTCTTGAGTGTCACCGGTCCACTGCATGCCGTACCTGGATTGTAGCATGCAGTCCGTCAAGGTTCCAGCTATGAAAGAGTCCAGAATGAAACTAAAGCTAATCTAAATTTCATGGATTGGTTATGGCATCGAGTAAGACAAATGCTCCAAGGCTGTCACCTGTGAACCTGCCAGCAGCACTTAGTATGTGCCTTGAAAGGAATTCCAAGTGAAACCTCTCTCTGACACCTCTCTATCGACTTTCATGCCCAGCAGCATGCCAGCATACATGGGAAGTTGCAGTCTGAAGCCGGCACGGGAAACCCAAAACGCTATCACCTGAGCATCACATGATAAAAAACAATGCTGACGCACCAGTCCGGACACTCACACAGACGACACCACTGCATGACCTGCCAAGGGCTGCAAACATCTCATTGACACTGACAACCCTCCTAGCCCAGGCCTGTTCTTGTTTCCCATTAGCTCCCATCATTGCAGTGTGCCCAAACAAAACTCCTTCCCTTCCGCTGCCATTGCCGCCATCACCATCCCCGCCATCGCCACCACCTGCCATCCATCGTCACCCCTGCCACCATCATCGTCACCACCGTCGCATTGGCGATGGCAGGGATGGCGACGGCAGCAATGGTGACCATCCCAACCAACGGTGGCAATGGCGACGCTGTCGCCATCCCCTCCATCGCCAACCGTTGCCGTTCCCCCCATTGCCATCCCTGCCATCACCACTGCCGCCGTCGCCATCACCATGGCAGGGATGGCGACAGTGGCAATTGTGATGGCAGGGATGGCGACGGCAGCAATGGCAGCAGTGGGGATGGTGACGTCAGGGATGGTGATGGTTGCAATGGTGCCGGTGGGGATGGCAACGGTGGCAATGGCGATGACAGGGATGGCGACGGTGGCAGTGGCGATGGCAGGGATGGCGACGGCGGCAATGG